GTGAGGGAGTTTTTAGCCAGTAAACAAATAACTGTATTGGAACACCCTCCCTACTCACCTGATCTGGCTCCCAATGACTTCTTTCTTTACCCGAAATAAAGGAAATATTGAAAGGAAGACATTTTGATGACATTCAGGACATCAAGGGTAATACGACTATAACAGCTCTGATGGCCATTCCAGAAAGAGTTCCAAAATTGCTTTGAAAAGTGGAGCAGGTGCTGGCATGGGTGCATAGGTTCCCAAGGGGAGTCCTTCGAAGGTGACCGTAGTGATATTCAGCAATGAGGTATGTAGCACTTTTTCTAGGATGAGTTAGCGAACTTAATTGTCCAACCTCATACATGTACTTGTAAGTGAGAAGCAGATGGGTGAAGCATCTATCTATCTGTCCTTACAGTAACGTGCAACTTCCTGAACTTAATTATACTTCTGTGATTTAGGTGATTAGTTCAGTAACACATCCCACCAGTATTGAGCAATGTCTGGGACACAACCGCACATGACAACCACAGATTGTATAGATTTCCTCTTGTATTGTCGATGAGTTGATGAACATCAAATAGCAGTTCTACTATGACATTTTGTTTTTGGTTAACTCTGCCTAAGAACAACTTGTCTAATAGTTACCTTTTGTATTAATCATGACTTTTATTTTCTATATTTTATAATGCTTTGACATCTTTGGCGGGGGGGGGTGGGGGTGCCTTGCTAGCTGGGGAGAGACTGCTCCTCCCAGGCTTAGCTGATTCCTAGATAGCAAATCACTCCCCTGTGAGCACATCCCCTATATGCAAATCAACCAATCCAGAGCCCAGATCCCCAACCACCTCCTTTATTTAATTCTCACACTCCAAACCAATATTTCTCCTGCCCTAAATCAGGTACCAGGCAACTGGCAACCACGCCCACAGCCCATCATCTCACAACATTATTCAGACGATTTAATCCTAAACTTTCTCAAAACGGTTTTCCCATTCTTCTCTGGAAAACCACTATAAAGTCTCTGGGCTATACTTTCTCCTTTGCTTTCCTCCATCCTGATAAAAGACCTTGGGGCTTTCCCAAGTGGCCGTGTGTGGTGTAGCCTGCCCCCTTCTCTTGGGTAATGTAAGTAACAAACGCTTCTTTCAAAGGCAGTTGTCTTGTGTCTGTCACCTCACCATTCCTGATTAAAACATTTTAGAACACCTGCCTTCTCTCCTTATCATAAACATTCTAAAGCTCCCGGGGTCCCAATTCTATGCCCATCCTTAGCGTGCTTTCCCAGTTTTAGCAGTATCCATGCAGGGCCAGTGTTCATCAGAGGCTTTAGGATTGCCCAAGCCCTGAGGCTGTGTACACTGCATGGACAAGGGTTTTTTTTTCTTATAGTACTGAATGCCTTTGGGCGTTGCAATTTGTTTTTTATTTTTCTTGTTTTTTAACTTGGGTTTTCATGTTTTTTCCTTGTTCAGAAGAAGAAGAGAACAACTCATTATTTTGCCTCATTGTCTTTGAATAGCTGCATGAAACAAAGAGGCTCCCTGGATTTTATGTGATGAAAGTATGTCTACGCTACCCAAATGTAAATTTTATACAATGTGACTCTTTACCCAAAGCCCAGTAACTGGACATGTGAAAGATGGGTAACCAAAGCCTCTGCTTGATCTCCATAGTGATGGCAGCTTAAAAAGAACTGTTGAGAAATAGAAATATCCTTGCTCACGAGACTAGGAAACGGAGGGACTTATAAGAAAATAAGTGATTCACTAGGAGAGGATAAATCAAATAGAAATAGAACCCAAGGGATTAAGGACATAGTAAAAATCATTTTTACCTTCAAAATAAGCTTGGTAGATCTTCTAAAAAATGACTTACTTGATAAAATTTTGATTTCAGAAAATATAGGAAATTGAATCAAACACTAAACGATTGCTGAGTAACAACATCTACACACTTCAGGATCAGAACAAAAATCTCAAAAGTTCTTAACATAATGTATGATACACAATAACACGTATCATACTGAGGAATGAGAGTGACGATACCTGGGTACTTGGCTTGGCTTTATTTGGTGGCAATGGACTTACATTTCCAGTCCTTCCATCCATGAAATGAAAGGATTGAACTGGCTGAATTCTTCCACTTCTGATATTCTAACATGTTAATAATTTACTTGGGATTCTTTCTATAACCATTCCAAGCCCATCTTTAGGTTTTCAAATAGAATCCTCCAGCCCCCAACCCCTATCGAGACCTTTCCTCTTAATTTACTAGCAGTACCTTAAATTTTTGATATCTGTCAAAATATAGATGCATACACTTACATTTTATAATAAATGAATAGAAGATTAATGGCTAAAATGGAAAACTCTTTGACATTGATTTCTCAAAGCAAGGGGGGTAGCTGGTGCTCAGCATGGTTATGGAGTAAGGGAGCCCATCATGTAGGTAGGCAAATGTTGGCTCAGAGTTGTTCTCCATTATGGGAGTGACAGTTGACATGGGCAAGTTCAACCCTTGTTTTGGTTGAATCCAAACCCATTGTTTTGCCTGTGGAATATTCCTTAGGAATATGGGCTTTAAAGTTAAACAACTTGGTTCAGATCTCAGCCTTGTCACATATTACCAGTGCAACTGCAGACAAATTATTCCTTTTTTTTAAAAGATTTTATTGGGGAATTGGGGGATGGGAACAGCACTGGGGAATTGGGGGAAGGGGAACAGACAAGTTGCTGTTGTTTTGTTCTTCAGTCTAGTTGTGGAGGATGTTGCTTCACTGGCCCAAGGTGGCACCATTATTATGCTCTTCCCGGGCGAGGCAGATCAGTCACCAGCCTCTGGACGGCCGCTCACGGCGGCTGCTGGCCGCTCCCACTGGCTGCCGGCCGCTCACGCTGGCTGCCGGCTACACATGGTAGCTTATGGAAGCCCACTGCAGCAGGGGACTGCAGCCTACGCCGACGCTGGCGACCCACACCAGCCCAGCTCCTGGTCAAGCTGTTGTTCAGCATCTTAGCTGTAGAGGGCAGTGTCACTGGCCCTCATATGTGGGATCCGAACCGGGGCCCTCTGGCATCCCAAGCCAGTTCTTAACCAACGCGCCACTCGACCGGCCCAAATTATTCCATTTTTTTGAAGTTTCAGTTTCATCGTCTCTAAAATGGAGCTGATAATAATGCTGATGTTAGAGTTACAGTAAGGATTAAGTGAGATAATGCATGCAGAGCACCTAATGCCCTGTTCTTACCGAGCTGTCCTCAGAAGTAGTAGTGATTCATTTGCTATATTGCCTCTTGGATCTCAGCTCTGTGCCCTAATGGTCTTGTTAGATTAGGAAAATTAAAGAAAAAATGAGATATAATTTACAAGTGATATAGAGGAAGTTGGGGAAAAGCAGAGTGTCTAGTATAAGAGAAAGATGAACTATTTTGCAAATGTAGAAAGCAGATCACAAGTGAGTTTACAACTTAAGAAATGACAGGTAACAAAAAAATCAGTATCAGATTGGGAAGGAACATAACATTTGGACTCCTGTGAACTTTTAATGCCACAGACATCTTGATAAGCAGAGGGCAAGCAAAGGTCTGATTGTCATTTTGATGGGTAATGACAGGAAACAGTTGATTTCACACCCTCTTCATGACCCTGGAGAATAAAATGAAATAGACATGAGGCGAAATAGGTCTTTTTCTACTTGGAGTGGACAGTTGCTTTTTTAAAATTTTTTTATTTGTTTGTCTTTGGAGAGCCCAGCCCTTCTTCACAATAGTATCGAGCTCATGTTACAGGTCTTGCTGGGTGGCAGCACTCGCCTCCCACCTTGGAATCCAAAGGGAATGTTTTCTCTTTCCAGCCTGCACTCTCAGGCAGGCCTTGACTTGTGCTCTGCAAACTGGACTCATCTCTCCGATTTTGGCTCTTCCGTGAGGGATACAGTGACGCGTGGCTGGGGTCTTCAGCTGCAGGTCCTTGCCAGTCCTACCCCTCCTCAGCTCCTTGGATTATCTATTTCCTAGGCCTGGTTGTGAGCTCTCTCTCTTCTCAATACTTTGAGGCTCCAATAGCCTTCCAGTGAAATCCCTTTTTGCCAAAGAGAACCTGTTTAGCTTGGTTTCTCCCAGAAGCAGAGGCCAAGAAAGGAATTTGAATGCAGGTAGTTTGTCTGGCTGGCGCGGGAAACTCTGGTTAGGAGAGTGGAGAAGTGAGATGGGGAAGAGAAGGCAGCTAAGGGTGTGAAACCACAGCTGCCTCTGTGGGCTCCTGCATGGGTCCCACAGAGGAACTCTGGGAAACCGTGGGAACAGGGGTCTTAGCGTTATCTTGCTCAGCTAGGGCGGGCACTGGGGTATTTGTACACCGACTTCTGTTGGTCCTAGCCTCAGGGCTGCTCCTGGGGGTGCTCACTGTCCGGCCTTTCTGGCTGCCATTAGCACAGGCAGTGTCGCCTTCTCCTGCTTCGGGGAAAGCCTCCAAAGCGAGGTAGGTACTTGCAGTTGATTCTGGGCTGGAGCACACAGAGGTGGTAAGGTCTGGGTGACACAGGCAAGGTGCTGATAGCATCTGCTACAGGGCCAGAGCCACTTGCAGTTGTTTGAGAACCAGAACCAGGACTAAGACATGCCATAAGCAGACTGCAGCCAGGCTGGCCGCTCCCAGATAAATGATGCCACCATCACCTGCCTACCTGACATATCCATGTTTTCCCAATGGTCTCAGATGCCCAGGTGTCCTCCTTTCAGATTCCTGGTCTTGGGCAAGAACAGGCCAGATAGCTGTGTGCTGGCTGCCAGGAAGTAGAGAGAAGAAAGGCTCTGTCTGATTGGATTTCCACAGTGGGAGGCAGAGCACTAAATCCCACTGATAGCACCCTAAAACTGGGAAGGGTAAGGAAGGCTGTGGGGGAAACAAATTTGATAAATATTCATTGCAGCCCTCACTTTGGCATCTCAAGTTCCAGCCTAAATAGTATCCCCTACTGCACAGCCAAACCAGAGGATCAGCTGCCTAACATGATGACTTATTCCTCATGTAACTAAAAATGCACTCACTCTTTCTCCTAAGGAAGAACAACTGAAATCACATTGGTTATGGTAACCTGCTTTTGGATCAGGATTTTGTGATAGGGTCCATTATTTCTCCAATTCTGTGGTGACCCCATCTCAATATTTCACAACTGGTGGACCACATTGTAACGTTATCAACACAACACACCTTAAATATGACAGTGGATTATACAGAGAGAGAGAAAAAAAGAAGACAGGTAATATATATAATCATACATGGGATAGAGTGAGGATGGAAACAGGTGAAGAGATTAGAACCCTCATATCTGTAGCAAATCAGGAGGCTGTACTTGGGTTTAGGGGACTTCACCATGGCATGGTCCCTTTGTCTTTAGCCAGTATCTCAGTTGGTTGGTGTTCTTTACCCACGGAGTTGACACAAGACCTTTAATCCACGGGATCTGAGCACCCCCATGGCTCAGATATACTGCCTGTGTTCCAGGGGTTCTGGTAGTCATCCACTGTCTTCTTACCATCATGTGAGGAGCACCTTGTGGAACCCCTGGATTTCCTCCACATTTCTTCCTGCTCCTGCTGTGTTTCAGCATGCCTAATTCCCCTTGATAGTCAGGATCAACATTTCTAGAAAACTTAGCACCAACTTAGGACTCACCTGTTTTTGCTTGTTTGAACAATGGCATGAATTTCTGATGGTTTTTGTAAAGAAAGTTTTATTGGAACACAGCGATTTTGTCTATGGCTGCTTTCATGCTACAGTGGCAAAGTAGTTGAGACAGATGCTGAATGGCCTGCAAAGTCTAAACTATTTACGATCTGAACTTTTTCTGTAAAGGAAATGTTTGCTAACTCCTGGGTTGGAAAAATAACTTGCTAGTCAATAATTACATAACAGTTTCCAGAGGCTGCGGGGTTTGCCAACATCTGTTTAGACAACTACAAATGCTGTCTCACCTGATTAAACATCAAATAATTCATTGTTATTTTTTTCAAGGTTAATCTCTTCATTTCAGCCAAATTGGACATAGAAGCGAACATGTGATAGGGATCACCCTCTTTCCTCACATATAAACAATATTTCCTTCCATGTGGGTCAGACTACTTTGAACATGATGATGGCTTTACTGATAGCGGGAATGGGAGGAAAGTCGGGCAAGCAAGGTGAGTAGGATACAAAATTTAAGGCGGTGCTCACTCTCAGGGGAACTTGAGAGCTAAGCCCTTCACTGGCACAAACTTGAGAGTCAATGTCTCCCTAGGTGCCCTGGTTGCCTCAGCCTAGTCCGGGTCCTGTATAATAGTCATTACATGTTTCTACTTTACCTCTGATTGTTAAGTACTGATTCTTCAACTCCAACATCTCTAACATATTGCATTCTTTCATTTTTGTCGCTATGGAAGAGATTATTTCAACTGCAGTATCTCCCTGTCTCTAGTGAACGTGTGTTGTGCTGTCCAGACCTTGCTTTAGGACAGAGGCACTTATTCCACCAGTTGCTGGGAATGTTGGGAGCTGAGGGTTGTCCACTGAGTTGCTCTCCAGGAATTGCATGCAGCTGAAGAAAGCTACCTCATCCAAGATCACGGCCATCCCTAGTGTCAGCCTTCAGGGTGGAGCTGGACACCTTGCTTCAATATTGGGCATCCCAGCTCCAGAGTTCTTGGTGGGATTGTATTGCAGTTCACCTGCCACCCACTGCCTAATTCTCCTGCCTTCACGCCCCGACAGATGTTGATCATGAGGACATTTACCAATAAACTTCCTGCATGCAAAGCTCCTCTCAGAGTGCGTTTCCTGGTGAACCACATCTATGACAGTTGGTGCCAGGTGTGGTACGAGGAGGCTGACCCTACAGTGAGATTTTGGAGCAGGGCCACCTGCCAGCTGACTGGCACTTGAGGACAGCATCACTGGTGGCAGGTGGAACAATGATCGCCTTGGCTTATGGTAGCAATGCATTCGTTAAAACTTTCACTGCTGTTGTATCGGAATGGGGTACCTATGGAAAGGAATTTATTGGTGAATTCAGGAAAGGAACGCTGAGGTAAGGGCAATGCCACAGGTGTTCAAGAAGTTTGGTGGAAGTAGTAATTATAAGAACTGTGGAACTGGATGGCTATTTCTGGGGACAATTAATAAAACAGAGTAAGACAATGAAACACTGAGGGGTATTAATCATTAATTAAAGTATAAAAGACAGGGGACCTCTTTGGCAGCATATAAGTAGACTCCTGCAGCTGGAGGGCAGAAAAACCAAAGGATAAGGCCTAGTGCATAATTATAAGAATGCCAGTGCTCCAGAGATGGTTGAATTCTCATTATAAAGTCTGTGGCACTAAGTCTGGGCCCTGATTGGGAAACAGTGGTACCCTATGACATGGGGTGGGGACACTGGGTCAATGCATTAAAAAATCTTGAATCCTCACATTCCTCTGAGCCTCCTGAGCTAGTAGGAAGGGCACCCTACTTGTTAAAGGACCGTGCTCCCCCTTGCTTGAAAACAATGCAGAGCCTCTGCCACTCGAGACAATAAGAAGCCCCCTTAGGACCGACACCCATCTCATACCCTGACTAAATCACAATAAAACTCAGCTGTGGAAGTTCTAGGCCTGCTAAGGAAGGATAGGAACTCCGAAGAAGCAACTGCGGGGACTCACCAACATAGTAACAGCAGCTGGGAGGATACAGTCTAATGAGGCTGAGCCCTGAGGGTGCTGAATGAAGAGACGTTAGAACATAATAAAGGAGAGTTTATCATGGGAGCATTCTTCCGTGATACATGACTTAACACCTTTGGCAGTGACCCTGGGAAAGGATAGCTCTGGGAAGTTTGAAGAAAGAGAAGGTCCACTCAATGTGAAATAGGAATTCCAGGACTGCTGTGGCAGACAGTGGAGAAATAGATCAGAAGGCTAAGTGAAGAGGGCATGCTACCATAGACATACAGTTTCAGGCCAGAAAGCCCACAAGCTGGGGAGGGCCCAGAGGACAGTCTATTCATCAGCATATTAAAGAATGCTCTGGTGAGAGGGCTCCAGTCACTGAGATTCTCACTGGTATTTGTCCCTGTAGGACAGGGCTGATGATGGCAGAAGCTGATTTAGAACTGTGCTTCCCGATTACAAGGAGATAATAGCATTCCAAAATAATATAACCCAGCTGGTCTTTAATCATCAGAAGCAATAAGGCTACAGAATGGGAGTGGCATGGGGATGAGTGGGTCTGGCCTCTAAGAAGGCTACAGAGTTGGTTAATAGAAAATGTCCAGGAGCAAGACAGGTGGCAGGCCATAAGGGGATTGCTTCATTTGTGCAATCAAGAGAAATCAAGGATAGAAGATAAAAAGGCTGAATGCAGCCAGACCAAAAAGTCATGATACCTTGTTCCATTTCTAGACCTGAGATGTTTGAAGACCCAGGATCACTGAATTATGGAGAGGCCATGTTTCCAGGAGGAAGGACCCCACAATATCATGGCAACTGTATATGGTAACGATTCCCCTAGTCCTTTCCCAGAGAGCTTTATGGCCATTTACTAAGATAACCAATCACTGGAGAAGAGGGAATACTCAAACATTTCAAGGACTGCTGGACACAGAGTACAAGCTAACATTGCTCTCTGGGCATCCAAAGCATTTTGGTGGACCACATTTATAGTGGAAGCAAATGGGAGACCAGATGATAAATAGAGTCCTGACTCTGGTCCATTTCATAGTTGGTCTGCTGGGTCTATAGACTCACCAGTGAAAAAAGGCTTCAACAGACTTTCCTGTATAATAGGAGACAACAAAAGGAAAATACATACCAAGTTTCAGAAGCCACAAACAGCCCAAGTTACATGTTACAAGTTAATCAAGCAAGCTTGATGTACTAGTTAGGATTAGTGCAGATGTATTGACCAAAACTCAAAGAAGGGCATAAAAATATGTGAGTTTGTTCACTCTTGTAAAAGAAGCCTGCAGGTCTATGATTGGGGATTCAGGCACTGATTTTTCTACTCTATACCACCCTTAGCATGAAGGCTCCATTCTCACAGTCATTTCATAGTCTAATATGGCTGCTGGCACTGCAGCCATCATGTACGATTTCCGGAAGGTAGAAGAGAAAGTGCCAAGGGTCTCAGTATATGTTCTCCCTTTAAAGAGCCTTCCTGGACTCTTTTTAATCAACAACTTCCACTTTGATTAGCTATACTTAATTTCAGATGGCCATGCTTACTGTCAAGGGAAGATAATCAATATTGCCGGTATTTTGTCTGTACCTTGAGCATCTCTCCAGTTTCCATATGGAGGTGTCATCTTAGAACTCATTATTTCAGTGCTTTCTCAGCCTCCTGGGCTGACTCAAGCCAGAAGAGCCAAGTATTTCTCCGGGCTTGTCCTACTCGGTTTCAGTTTTGGGTCAGAGAGTAATAACTCTCTTCCCCAGGTGACTCAAAAACTCACCATTTTAGTGTAGTATGCTCTGGGTGCTCTTACCAAAAGGATAAGAGATAACAAAGAGCAAGGGTGTGGAGAAAAGGGAACCCTTACACACCGTGGGTGGGAATGTAAATTGGTGCAGCTATCATGAAAAAGAGTATGGTGGCTCCTCAAAAGTTAAGCACAGAACTACCATACGATCCTCCAATTCTACTCCTGAGTATATATCTAAAGGAAATGAAATCAGTATCTCAAAGAGATACCTGCATGCCATGTTCGTTCCAGTATTATTCACAATAGCAAAGATATGAAAGTGACCTAAATGTCCTTCAGTGGATGAGTGGATAATGAAAAGGTGAAACACACACACACACACACACACTAATATTACACAAATATACCATGGAATATTATTCAGTCACAAAAAAGAAGGAAATCCTGACATTTGCCACAACATGGGGGAAACTAGAGGGTATTATGCTAAGTGAAATAAGCCAGACAGAGAAAGACAAATACTGCATGATATCACTTGTATGTGGAATGAAGAAAACCTGATTCCATAGAAACAGAGCATAGAATGGTAGTTGTCAGGTACTAGGGGAGGGGAAATAGGGAGATATAAGTCAGACCTTCAGTTAAGAGAAATTCTTAGGATCAAATGTGCAGCATGCAGCATGGTGATTATAATTAATAATATGGTATTGTACCCTTGAAAGTTGCTGAGAGTGGATTTTAAGCATCCCAACAACAAACACACACAAAGAGTTAACTATATGAAGTGATGTATGTGCTAATCATCTTGATCTTGGTAACTCTTCCACAGTGTATATCACAGCACCAAACTGTACAATTTAAATATGTGGAATTGTATTTGTCAATTATTCCTCAATAAAGTTGGAATAAAGATTACCAGTTCTAAAAATTAAACAAAACTAAAGTAATGATGTAGATTTTTCATTTAATAGTTAAGATCTATCCATGTTACTCTGTAAAAATATGAAACAGCATAACACAATCTCTATATTGGAATAACACATGCATGCACAAGCAACATTCTATTTCAACAATATAGAGCTATCTACAGCATATATTAAACACAAAAACAGAGTCTTATAGATTAAAAGGAATGTAAAGAGGGCAATGATGGGGAGAAATTAAAATAAGACAGGAAACTTGCAGGTTGATACTGAATATACCAAAGATTGAGGATATGGTTAATTAAAAAAATTGTACCTGAGGTTAAAAAAACCAAAACAAAGTGATTCACTGGAACATGAATGATTTGCAATTTGAGATAATTTGTGCACTTATATACACTTGAATATGAGAAATTGCCCAAGTAGAAAGTCATTTCCATGTCATACCTCAAGACTTACAAGAGTCTGCAAAGTAATGGATTAGGTTAAAATAATACTTATCATCTTTTCTCCAGGCAGTTAGTAAAGGAAAAAAGAACATAAAGGCTGAAAAAAATATTTTTGTAGGATGGATGAAGAGCAAAGAACATTTAATGTCAAAGGAGTTACCAACAATTGAAATGTAACAATGTTAGCTTGATGAAACAATTTTCTCCACTAATGTCAGGGTGAAATTTAATGTTACAAGATGATCACTAAAAACACGAGAGGGCAAGTGTCAAGAATTTTCCTGATGTTTTCCTCATGGCATTCTATTCTATTTTAGCCTCATGCATCAGCTATCCAAGATTTAATACTAATGGAATGTACTTGCTGGAAAGAAATAAAAAACATATATCTCACAACATTGCACATGGCGGTAACAAAATGTTTTCTTTATCACCTTTAATTTTTGTTCATAGCATTACAAACATAATGTAACTGATTTTTTTTTTTTGGAGATGGTATTTAGGATGTTTGGCTTTTTATATTGTTTGCATAATCAGAAATCTAACATGATAACATCTGAATATTCTGAAAATTATTTTATAAGTTTATATATATGAATTTACATATATATGCTAACTTCTTTTTGGATTATCATCTTTTTTCTTTCATTGCTGCATTATTTCTCATCTAAACTCTGTTTTAGGGCTGGCCGAGTGGTGCATTGGTTGAGTTGGCTTGGGACACCAGCTCTGAGCATCAGGGCCCCGGTTCAGATCCCACATTACGGCCAGTGATGCTGTGCCCTCTACAGCTAAGATGATGAACAATAGCTCAATCTGGAGCTGGGCTGTTGTGAGTTGCTTGCCATGGCGTAGGCTGCAGTGGGCTGCTGTGAGCTACCGTGAGAGGCCGGCAGCCAGCGTGAGCTGCCAAGAGCCGCAGTGAGCGGTTGCCCAGTGGCCGGCGACTGATCTGCCTCAGCTGGGAAGAGCACAATAATAATACCAACATGGGCCATGAAGCGACATCCTCCACTAGACTGAAGAACAAAAGGACAGCAACTTGTCTGTTCCCCTTCCCCGATTCCACAATGCTGTTGCCTTCCCCCAATTCTCCAATAAAATCTTTTTTTTTTTAAAGATTTTTATTGGGGAATTGGGGGGATGGGAACAGCGATGGGGAATTGGGGGAAGGGGAACAGACAAGTTGCTGTCGTTTTGGTCTTCAGTCTAGTTGTGGAGGACGTCGCTTCACTGGCCCATGTTGGTATGATCATTGTGCTCTTCCTGGGTGAGGCAATCGGTCGCTGGTCATTGGTCAGCCGCTCACGGCGGCTCACAGCAGCTCATGCTGGCTGCCAGCTACTCACGTAGCTCATGGCAGCCCACTGCAGCCTACCGCAGCCTACTGTAGCCTACGCCAAGGCTGGTGACTCACAGCAGCCCAGCTCCAGGTTGAGCTGTTGTTCATCATCTTAGCTGTAGAGGGCGCAGCATCACTGGCCCTCAATGTGGGATCTGAACCGCAGCCCTGCTGCTCAGAGCTGGCGCTCCCAAGCGAGCTCTTAACCAGCTGAGCCACTAGGCCTGCCCGTATATCATTCTTGAAGGAGGGAATGCAGGATTAAAGAAAAAGAAAATCCCAGCCCTCATGGAGTTTATATTCTAATAGATTAATGCGGCTAATTTAGAGCATAAACTGTTCAATATTGTGATGTAATAACATCAGGAAAATGATTTTTATAAGATATTTTTGACATTGGATGCATTTTTGTCCTGATACTGTTTCTCTTAAACATAGCTCATTTGGCTGTTATAACGTGATTGACTATCACACAGATTTAAATATAATTTGGGTCAAATCACATCCCCAAGCAAAACAAATGTATGTCTGGTCCAACAGGTTTAAACTAGAACACCATAGTCCTTGACATCCTGTGGATGTTTTTTAAAAGGTTGAATTGAACAAGAGCATTAAAGCCCCTGGCCTGACATTTTTGTAGCCTGTGTATTTAGTACATTAAGATACATTTGACTCTTTTCTTGTTACTTATAACCCTTATCTAGAAATTAAATACATTCCTTCCAGTATAATCCTCTTTTGCTTCCTTACAATCTCCATATTCCCCCCTCTCATCCTCAGCATCCTGCCCCTCTGCACAGCCACTTCTGTCTTTTCCCTTAAAAAAAAAAAAACCCGCTCTCTGATGTATCCCTGTCTCCTCTCGCTCCCTTTAGTTCTCTAAGGCTGGAGGCAGCCTGAGTTCCTAGAGGAGCCTTACAGCTGTTAAGGGCAGCTCTGGAGCAGCAAACACCAGCTCCTGCTCTCTGCCACACTGTGTAGAAGAAGGGATATTGAACAAGCTCCTGTCTCAAACTTACCAGGAAATATCTAAGGCTGGGAATACAGGGCCAATATCAAAGTGATCGCCAAAGGGCTCCCCTCAGGGAAGCCACTGTCACCAAACCAGCATTATTAAATAAGGTCTGTTGTGATCAGTCAATAGATAATTCCAAACAAGTTACACGTAAGCCATATTATTTTGGATTTTGAATTCATTCTTTCATAGGCATTTATTGAACACTTACTTGGTATGATACTCTCTACCAGTCATTGAAGGGAATGTAATACCAAGAGGTGCCATTTATTAGTTTCCTACAGTATTGGAAGCACTTTGCATTTATTGTTTCTGATCAACACCAGGACCATATCATTATCTCCATGTTAGGCGTGAGGGCATTGAGGAAAATGAGAAAACTGAAGTTCAGAAAGGTTAGGTTATAACTAACCTCTGGCCATGTCTGTGAGGCTTCTAAATGCCTGCTGTTTCCATGGGATACAGCTCCGAAGGCTGGATGCCAACCGAGACATATCTCTCTGTCAGTGGAAAGAAAATTGAGTGTGATTAGGAACTCTGTGGACACTCAGATGGGGAGGAAAATGTTGCTGAGGCTTGGGGGCCGCTAGTAAAGGCTTAAGGAACCAAGTAGGATCCAAGAGCGTAGGTCCCAATGGCTGTGAATTTTGCTCTGAGGAAATTTTCTAAGACTCCATGTTTTTTATGTGCTTTCTCAAATCCTTTCTGGAATAATGCAATGTACAACTAAATAAACCAATTAAGTATTGGTGTGCATGAAGTTGAGGCACATCCACTGTTTTGTTTGTTTGTTTGTTGGCTTAAACAACCGAAATTTATTTCTCACAGATCTGGAGGCTGGGAGTCTGAGATCAGGGTGCCAGCAGGGTCGGGTTCTGGTGAGGACTCTCTTCTGACTTGGAGACAGCTGCCTTCTTGCTGTACCTTCACATGGCAGTCACATCCACTGTTCTTGTGAATGTAATAATCTACATGAAATAACTTGTCTATAAGTCAGCGATATGAGAATTCTTCATGTGGCTTGCAAATCCTAGAAAACCCATGACAGTCCTCAGGTTAAATCACAGACCAGCTCTATATTTTCTGGAAGTCTTTATAATGTCATTTTGTCTCAGAAGACAAAGAAATCTCCAAAGAAATGAAAAAAAGTTTGTAGTTGATGGGAACCCAAGAGGACAGTAATACAGAAACAAATCTGACCAGAAGGAGATAAATCTGTCAGAGTAGTGTTTTTAAAAGCATTCCTCCAGGCCACATGTAACTGTAGTTTCTGATGAAATTGAGTCGTAAATTTCAATAGAAAAAAATATATAATCACTATTATTTATAGTGCTGGCAAAAAAAAATGTAGGTTTGTATAATAGAAGAAAAAGGGTCAATTAACAGAGTCTCTGCTAAGGAAAGCTAAGACCTAGAGGCAGTTTTAATTTTTTTGACGTTCATTGATTTTCCTCCCACATCTTGAAGGGTTCCCTCTAAAACATCAACTATATGTTAAAAATAAAATCTCTATACTCATTGAATTACAGAAATGTTCCTGAATTAAGTGTAATATTCTTTCATCTTTTCTGCCTCTAGGGGGAAGTGTGTTTTCAACAATTCGAAAATACAGAAGGCATTTTCTTTTTGGGCTACGTATGGGTTTCACAGGGACATTCTTCAATGTGACTTCAGGGCTGGCTTAACCAAGAAGAGATTCTGTTTGAAAGCCAGGAAAGAGCTCTGTTTTAGAGGTTGCCTTCAGGTTTCTGAGAGAGAACGTCATACAGATTATTAAAACTGGTGGAGAAAACTTCTCTCTGATAGCATTTCTAACACATTTTAATGCTGTCTTTCCTGGTAGCAGAGGAATATGTAGAGACACTGGTTTCATTTCACAGAACTGAAAACAAATAGTTGAATACTTCATAGAAAACTTGCCAACTTATTTTAGCAACTTAAAGTTAAAAAGTATGGTTTGTGGACATTGATGAAAACATTTCTAAATCCTATAAAAAGTCTCTTCGTTTCTGTCACATCATGTTTAGGGTTAACATTGTCCTTAGGTATTCACTTGGCTAATTTTATTTTATTTTGCAGCATTTCCTTGTAACTTTCTTTTGTTTTCATTCAGCACTTGTGGCCTGAAAGAACGCACTCAATGAAGGCTGGCAATTCTTTGAGTGTTAAAAAAAGTGCTTTTTTTTTTTTTTCCATTTCAGTGTTTTACAGAAGAAGAACAATATTTAAAAATTGAGTCTAAGGGCTGAATTATTTCCATTCCACCCCCCCCTTCTTTCTGGGTTTATCTTCCTGATTAGAAAGCTGTAAAAATGCTATGATAAATTACCTTATTGTGCTTATATTCTCAAAACTTAGCTACACACGAAGAAAAATTTTGACATAAAGAATGTTATTTCTTAATGTGAAAGTTAGCTTTGTTCCCTCTTTCACATGGTGTAATGGATGGTAGGTATATGCTTTATTTTGAATCCAACTCCACATGAAAATATTCTCAGGGGATGAAGAGGTATTTAAGTGTGCCATTTACATTCTTTGGGCCTCAGTTCTTCATCTGGAGAGTGCTGGGTGTCAGGCTGAGTGACTTCTAAAGTCCTTTCCAGTCCTAAGATTGGAGAACTCCATGACACCCATAACATTTACACAAACTTTCAGATGCTTGGGAAAAATCTAATTTGATGGAAAGTAAACAAACTGGTAAGATTAAAATCCGTATACTTAAATTACTTGGAGGGTCTTCCTATACCCTCATGCCTATTTTCACTTGAAACACCTTTTAAAAATCCTAATTTCTGCTCTTTGGAAAAATGGAAGGACTTGTCTGGTTTTGCTGTTCAGTGCAGGGGCTCTTCCTGTCTACAGCCTGGTTTGTCGGTGCTCTTGAGTGACAAGCTGGAAGTTGAAAGCTCTGATCCAAAGGCCACCGGGAGGCCGAAACTCACCCAAACGTAAACTTACTGCCCGGTGCGTGACCCTCGGCCCGGCTGGGCAGCGCCTGGGAGAGCAGAGACGTTCACGCCCGGTGCCACTGAAACCCCAGACACTCCGAATAAGCCCACGCTACACAGTGTGCAGGATCATATCGCCATTGGCTGGTGTTCCCCAGACACACGGCATAGCGAACAGTAATAGGAAACCCTGGTTCCTTGACGTTTCCTGGCAACCAGTTTGGAAATCCATTAAAACCCTCGGATTAAGCCGTTGTTCTCTTTCTTCCTTCTTTCTTTCTGTTTCCCACCCTCCCTCCCTCCCTTCCCAGGAGTTCAGGGAGGATTTAATTGCTGCGAAGCGCTAAATCTCAGTATCCAGTGTTGTGTGGATTACCGTTTGTAGAATTAAACTTTGTACACATGCTTCTTTTCCTACTGGTTAGCAGCTCTAATTAAACAAATCAAAGTTCTCGCAGAAGTTAGAAGCTGCTACGTGAAGATTCAGGGATAGTAGTGCATAACCTGAAATCTAAATGACCCAGAGGATGAAACGTTACCCATACACTACTACTGGTGCCAGAAACAGCGATAAGGAGGGTACTATCAAGGCGGCGAGCGCTGATGCCTGAAGTTGCCACATCTCCGGAAACCCTAATTTGCATTTTCACGGTCACAAACGAGAGCGATTGCTCTTTCGGGCCTCTGCATTAAAACAACCAACAAAACAAAACAAAACAAAACAAAAAACAAAACAAACACGCAGAGCCTGGGTCCGCCGCACTCTGTATACCAGTCGGCTGCAAGTTTCTGCCGAAAGAGGGCGTTTAGTCTAAGACTAATAGAAATTTGTGGACACGACGCCCAGTCAAATGGAAGACCATTTTAAAACATTTCCAATTTATTTTAATTTGCGGGACTTAAGTGTCAGAATTCTCCCGCCCAATGTGACACGTTCACATTGCAAGTGACCTCGACGTGCTATCACGTTCAGAGGGTCAAGTTCCATTCGGACCTGCTCTGCAGCGCCGCGGACTCCCGCGAGGCTCCTCTGGCCACGAACTTCTCTGCGGCCTTTTCCATCCTTGTCTCCATTGCTGTTGTGGCTGTGACCAGCGGCCCGACTGGGTCTCCCAGGCAGGACCTTTTTCGGCATTGCAGGACTCAGAGCACAGTGTCTCGCACGCCCCGGAGGAGAGCGGTTGGATTTCCGAGCGCTCAGGTTGGAGCGCAGAGCGCGCCTGCACCCACCCAGGGGACCCTCGGGGTAACGAAATGGGGAGAAGGTCTCTTTATTTAGTTACCTGGCTTAGCAAACAACCCCGGAGGACGCCTTGGAGATGCTTCTCAAGCTTTTTGCCACCTCCAGAAGCCGAAGCATTCGCTTGTCTTTGGGAGCAACAAGTTTCGCTTTCCTGCTCGCTGCGCGGCGACAGAGGGTCTGTGCGCGGGATCCTGGTGATCCTCGAGACGCTACGACTCCTGCGCGAACCTGCGCTGCCCAGAGGGAGGGGTCCGGTGCTGGGATGCGGAAGGAGGGGTGCGACTAACGCGTTTCAGGTCCGCTATGGAGCCGCCTGCACTGGGTCCTTAGTCCTGGTTCCCTTACCTAGCGCCAGGGGACCGGGAAGGTCGTATGCTCGCTGGGAGTTGGCGCGTCATGAGGGAATGTGGCCGGAGTGAGAAAGAGGTGAGAGCGAGCGGGACCTACGGAGTTTTGCACCGAAACTACCCGTTTCTAGGACCACTCCTTTCTCTAATCCTGTTGTTTATTTTTGCACGTTGTATTTGTGCCTGCGCGCATCTCTTTACTTTCAAAAGCATTTCTTTTTTTAAAGTCCAAGGCTGGAGAGCGCTGCCTCGAGCGGGGCCAGGGAGAGGCGGGGACCCTGGAGGCGGTGCGGTGCGGCGGGGGCTCCTGCGGGTGCGGACGTGGGCGACTGCGGCTTTAAGGAAAAGGTTGAGAGCTGGCGGGGAGTGGGGGTTAGGGAAAGGGGAGTGGTGGGAAGGGAAGGGGTGCGGGGTGGAGCCCTGATGTAAGAATGTTAATGAGAGGCTCCCCCAGCCCAGCCCCCACTACTCCCCACCCTCACCTCCCCCACCCGCTGGAAATACAAGGCCGGCCTCGGCGCGCCTTGTGTGGTAACGCGCTCCGCCACTGCCACGCTATTTAAACGCCGGTTATGGATCCAGGAACCGGCGCGAATCAATGAGATCAAACGCGAAGGAGATGCACCGTCAATTACAAGCACTTGGACAAGTCTACTTTTTTTTTCTTTTACAAATATGCTTTCAAAAGCAACCTTAGCAACGCCCAAATAGAAGCCACTCTAAGCAAAATAGTATATATAAAAGGAGGGCGAATAGATATATTTATAATAAGTATATGTATATATAAATATATTACAGGCGTACAGGTTTACACCCGGTGAACTTTTTCTTCTTTTTCTTTCTTTCTTTTTTTTTTTTTTAAACGAGTGACACTGCAAAGAAGGACTCTTCCTCTCTATCTTTTGGCGAGTTAGTAAAGGGGGTATTCTCTTTTCTTAGAGCGCCCAAGGGGGCGCAGGGACCTTGGAGAGAAGAGTGGGGAGGAAAGAAGAAGGATGGGTGGGGGGCAGAGGGCGAGCCGGCAGCGAGGGCCGGCGCTTTCCTGCGGCACGATGCTGTCCCTACCGGTGCTCACTTTCTCTGCGTTCGTCCTGCTCAGCTGGGTGTTGCTGGCCGGCAGCACGGGTGGCGGTGGCAGCGGGGGCGAGGGCCCGGGCGGCGGGCGCCGGGAGAGAGAGGCGCTGCCGCCCCAGAAGATCGAGGTGCTGGTGCTATTGCCCCAGGACGACTCGTACCTGTTCTCCCTGGCCCGGGTGCGGCCGGCCATCGAATACGCGCTGCGCAGCGTGGAGGGCAACGGGACCGGGCAGCGTCTTCTGCTCCCCGGCACTCGCTTCCAGGTGGCCTATGAAGACTCAGACTGCGGTAACCGTGCACTCTTCAGCCTGGTGGACCGCGTGGCCGCGGCGCGGGGCGCCAAGCCGGACCTCATCCTGGGGCCCGTGTGCGAGTACGCGGCGGCGCCGGTGGCCCGGCTTGCGTCGCACTGGGACCTGCCCATGCTGTCCGCCGGGGCACTGGCCGCCGGCTTTCAGCACAAGGACACGGAGTACTCGCACCTCACGCGCGTGTCCCCCGCGTACGCCAAGATGGGCGAGATGATGCTCGCCCTGTTCCGCCACCACCAGTGGAGCCGCGCCACGCTGCTTTACAGCGACGACAAGCTGGAGCGGAACTGCTACTTCACCCTCGAGGGCGTCCACGAAGTCTTCCAGGAGGAGGGTTTGCACACGTCCGCCTACAGTTTCGATGAAACCAAAGACTTGGACATGGACGACATCGTGCGCTACATCCAGGCCAGTGAGCGAGGTGAGCGAGAGCGCACCCCGAGCCCCCGCGGTAACCCAACCACTCCCCGCGTCTCTCCCTACACACCCATCCGATCCTCTGCGGACCCCACTATCCCCTGCAGTACTAAGGACTAGGAGAGAGCGCGCGTTTGGGAATGCGCTGTCTGGCAGCGACAACCTTTAATCATTGCCCATCGCGGTCGCGGGGTGTAAGTAGAGGGTCCGGGGGAGGTGGTGGAGCCTGGGGGAGGGGCGTCTGAGTCCGCAGCTCCCGCGTGCCCAGGTCCGACAGGTGCTGTCAAACTGCCTGGGTTTTTCCTTCCTCGGTCCCCCTTCGCCGGCGCCTGGCTGGAGATTAGGGGTGCGCTCTCGGTGCCCTGCTCCAGAAAACGTGCGGAGGCCAAAGGAACTGGTCACCCAGTCCTTTTCGGACGTGCGCCCCCTCCTAGGGCTGAAGCGTGTGAAGACGCTCTAAAGCCCGCACGCCGATACATGGCTAGCTCAGGTCTCCCGGTTTCCCGGCGGCTCCTTCCACAGACCCCAGCTTTCTTTTAAAGGCTCATTTATCGCCCTTCTCATTCCTTCCACGGCCCCTCCAGCCCCTTATAAACGAGCTTATGTGGTTTCCACCAAAAATGCCTCTCTGTGTCTGGACTCAGGCGACACTCACTTCCCCCGCCGCGTTGGGCATCGCGGTCTCTAAACCTCCCGCAGTGAGGATTTGCAGGCGCGCGCGCTGGAGAAGTGGGCGCTGAACCTCCTTTCCATGTGTTCCCCTTCCCCCGTCCTACCCCACCCCCCGTTTTCTTCGCGGGTCTGTGGTGGTCTGAATAAGCACCAAACTGGACGAAGAGCTCAAGGCTGAGGATGGTGGCTATGGCTACAGGGAGCGGGTGGTCGCGGATACCCCCACAATGTGGCTCATTTTACTGCAGAGTAAACTGCGGGAAGGCTGGCTGAGATCCCAGCATAATGCATTTCCCTCCCTCCCGGTGTCAGGTTTGGGGTGCACAGCGCTGGGGGAATCCCGCCTCTTCTCCCGCTAGGCGCGCACGCGCCTGGATTATTAGTGGTGCAATCCCAGCAAAGCTCCCCACGACCCAACGCCGGGAGACCCAAGGGGAGAGGGGCTGAGCCAGGCGTCAGGCTAGTCCACGACTTGGCACCGCCGGGCACCTGAGACAGCGCAACCGGAGACTGGAGGTCTCAGGAACAGGTGAGAGTGGGCGGAGGAGCCGTGGAGGACGGGGCTGCGGCCACCCCCTTCCCAATGTGGCCACCTCCGACTCATAGCGAATGCACTCTTTAGAGCGAGGAGGCGGGAGGTGTTGACAGTGGGGATGCATGGCCAAGTTTTGAGCGTTCGAACCTCCAGGCTGTCTGCGCCGAATCCCTGCCAGCCAAGCGGGCGGGGCGCGGGCTTTGCTGATTATGAAAAAGGGTACTTGTATTCAACGGCTGCGGACTCGTCACGCCCGGTCGAGAAACCCACTTCTACTTCTCTCCCCACTCCCAGTCCCCAGGTTACTGCAGACCCCTGTAGACCCCGGGCTGCCCTGGCTCCCGATCCATGAGCCTTCAGCTCTCAGCTCTCGAGGTCCGGGAGCTAGTAGGAGTTGGAGACTTCCCAGGAAGGGCTAGGGTTGGAGGTGGGTCCCTACCCGTGGGATCCAAGCTTTGCCAAACGCGTCTGTGCTACCATTGCCCTGAAGGTCTTAACACCAGCAGTGACCCCTTCGCACGTGGCCTGGGATTCATGGCGGAAGGGATGTCAGCCCAGATGAAGGCAGATCGCGGCCACTGGGCCCCTCAGCCTAACAAAGGTAGTTGAAGCCAGGGAGGGAGGTCGTCAGTGCCCTGGTGGGCCTGGGGGCGTCAGAGAGCTTGGGCTACCGTCTGCTACTGCTGATTATTTTTAATTCAAAAGCCTCGTAGATGTATCTTCTCCTGTTTTTTTTTTTTTCTCTTCCAAGTTTGAAATTCCATGGTGAACGTTTGCTCGGCTGAATCGTATATTTTACAGGTGATAAGGTTACCATTCCTACTCTAAAATGTATTTCCAACAGTGACTTGGCAGATGTTCAGAAATACAAAATAGTTTGTCCCCTAAGTCCCCCTCCCTCTCCAAAAAATTCCCTACTCTCAGGAGAGAAAGTTGCTTGACAACAAAGCTACCTCTGGGGATCTTTTTTACCTTTTGCTAATCACAATTACTTCACCATAAGCAGTTAAAGGGTTAAATTAGGGGTCCAGTGGAGTTTGACTTCCAGAGAGTCTGTCCTGGCTCAGCTTTTCATTGGTGGGGGAGCTTGGGCCGCTTCCAAACCTCTGTACCTCAGGCTCCTCAAGTAAAGTGGGGTTAGTGGGGGCACCCCCATCTTGGGGATGCTGGGAGGATTAGATGAACTGAAACAGTGCCAGGTGCATACTAAGTGCTCAGTAAACATGAGGTCTTATTATAGTTGTTATTATTTTGTACATATGATGATAATCACCTTTACCAGAAGGTGAGGCTATGCCCTGGGCAAAGAACCCTGGAGTGAGAAGCAGATGCTTTGGATTGGGCGTCTCCACGCAGGAACCACGTGGTCTGGGCAAGTCATTTACCTTCTCTGAGGCTGAATTTCCTCCTCTGTGAAACAGTGAAGGCCCATGAGAGTCAGGCCTCTGCAAACTGATGTTCCATGGTCCTGATTTGTGCTCACTTGAGTGTAAAAATGTAACTGGTCTTGTTTTTGTCTTTGAAAATCCTATATTAAACATCACAGAACTAGAGAATTCCCCCCTCCATGCCCCATGGAGATAATATTTTTTAGCACTTTTTTTCGACTTAAGTTCATCTTTAAAATCAGATCATAAATGTTTGAATCTCTTAAAGGGTAAAAACTGACAATACCATCATCTTAAATAATAAGACTAAAATTTCATTGGGCTATATGCTGTACTGTAAAAAGAAAAACTAAGGGATATTAATTCTTTCATTTTAGAGATTTACCATTGAAGTCAATAATTAAAATTTTTTTCTCTCATGCCTTTATCCAACATATAATACCAGGAAATACACATACAGGAGTATATATTATTTAAAAAAAGATATTTATTTAAAACTGATTCAATTATACAGTCAACTACTGCCCTCAATATTCTACACTCAATGATAAATTTATCTTTAAAAGGCAAGTTTAAAAATAAATATTTTTCCAAGCAGTAAAATCCAGTAGTTGTTTTGTCTACATATCTGATAAGATACAGAACTAGAAGTATTATATACACAAACATTTTTGTATGAAGAACTATAGTTTCATCCCATTAGTTGTTAATGTCATTAATCTGGGCCTCCATAACTACTGTAGAGATAACAGTGTTTAATCAGTATCAGAGTCATTTATTTTTAGAATTAGGCTGGGGTAAATGACCAAGTGGTTGATCAGCAGAATTTTTAAGCAAAGAACCCATGCTAAGCATAAAATAAGTAACACACAACAGCGGGGAAAGAAACATTATAGGCTGCTCCGTGGCTATTCTGTAAGCCTTTGGAGTAGATGGAGCTTTGTGAACTACAAAAATAAAGATGCAATCTCTATTTTGCAAATGAAACCAATTGCTGTGTAATGTTGGGGGTAAAAAAAGCCGGAGAGAAATCCTTTTTTTTTTTTTAAAAAAAAGAATTTATTTTTATGAAAGTTAGTTGTACAGCTGTATAGTTTAAAAAGTTAGAACATTACACAAGTCTTATTAGGAACAAGAGCTTCCTGTCTCCTACTCTCCAGTTCTCACTTCCCAGAGGCAACTATTTTCAACTCTTGTAGCTGTTTCTGTATTTGACTTCATACCTCTAAATAAAATGTCACTTTTGATTTTTTTTCAGTTTTAGGTTTTATCCCTTGCCATCCATTTAATTATCTTCTACTACCTGTTAACCACACACTCAAGCCTACCTTCCAGTCATCCTTCCAATATGATTGTGCTAAAATTTTTGGTTAGCTCAGTAGTGTTCAGTGTCTACATTATTATTACCTGCTAAATGCTATTTGTAGCTGAGCCATATAGGCTACTGCAGTGACATTTCCTTTCTTGCCCTACTTGTTTTCCTTGGGGTTTAAAAAAAAAGTCTATTTTTGTTTGTTTACTTAGTTTCCTATGGACATATAACTACCAGTTCTCTATTTTAAGTCTCCTGAGCTGCTCCAGTCTAGGTATTTTCTAAACATGCCCCACCGTTGTCACTCTGGGTTCTTTCAACATCCCCTTCCAACTCCCATCACCTCGCTCTCTGGCTAGGTCCTTGTGTGTTCTTCTTTCTTGGTTTATATTATTGTTTTGGTGGAGCACATTCTCTAGGAGCTTTCTGAGAAAGGATGGATGAGAGGTAAAGTTTGAGACCTTTCATGACTGAAAATTTCTTCATCCTACCATTATATATAATTACAGAATTATAGGTTGGAAATTATTTTCCCTCAAAATTTGAAGGATTGTCTTTTAAATTCCAATGTTGTTATGAGGAAGCTTGAATTGATTCAGCTTCTTTACCTATTGTTTGTTGTAATTTCCCCCCCAAGAAATTAGAGTATTTTTGCTGCTCCCAATGTTTTAACATTTCATTATGATGTACTTTTATGCCAGTATTTTGTCCTGTGCACTTGAAGGTATTGAAGGGTAGGCTTCTTCAATCCAGAAATTCATGTCTCTTACTTCTGGGAAAATTTATAAATTATTTTTTTGATAATTTTATCCTCTTCCTTTTCTCTTTTTAGAATTTGTTTTATTTAGATATTAGATCGCCTGGATTGATACCCTACTTTTCTTTTTCCTCTTCGCCTATTTACCACATGTCTTAAAAAAAATTCCTCTTGCTTTGCTATTTCATTGACTACCCCCAAAGTGACTACTGAGTTTTGGTTTTTCATTTCTGCTATCATATTTTAAATTTGCAGCATACGGCACATCTTGCTTTGCTTCCACGCAGTAGCATCCTTTCCCCCTTCTAAGTTTAGTTAAATGGAAGATGGATGCAGGAGTCAGATGGAAAATATAAAAATATCATTTTTATTATTGACACAACTTTTTGGAGAACATGGATTTAGATCTGCCGCCAGAATGGCTGCTTGTTATTACTTTCCCTCAGAATTAGGCAGGGTCATCCACTAAATCAGATAGCGTTATTCAGGGGCAGAGCCCCTCCAGGACAGGCCCCCTTACCTCTTGACAAAAGTCACCCATAATGTGTGCAAGGAGACACATATCAAAGAGGAAGGAAGAAAGGGCTGAGCCCAGTGTGCCAAAATTTTAATTCCAGGCTCACTGATCTGACAAGTCACTCCTTTTCCTCTGGGAGTTGGGGAAGAGAGGCAAATGAAGGCAGGTTCAGGAGAGATGAGGAGTGTCACCCTATTAAAGGTCACTCTAAACAGAAACCTGAGATTGGGAGAAGGATGCATACCCCACTAATCAGTTATGCTACCTGGAATGTTTTTGGTTCTCTGAATTGACTTCTGTAGCCACCCCTTTGCACTTCTTTCTGCGTTCTTAGAGTGATTGCAAGAGCATGCTGTAGTAGTGAGAAACTTCTTATAGAACATGCTGTAGAAATCAAGTGGTGGAGGATGACATAGAACATTGCAAAGTCTTTGGCAAGCTGGAGGAAATAGAGCAGAATGATGAAAAGTCTATCCAGAAACTTAGAATCACACCATCACTCCCTGCTTTTTAGAATTGTAACAATTTGACCAAAAAATTAGTATTAACATATTTAAGTATACTTAAATACACTTAAGCAGCTTTCAAGATTAGCTGATATTCTCTTTTCCCCTATAAATCTCATTGACTGTTGGTGAGTGCTGGCAGCTAATACACTTCTGAGTATGCCTGCACACTTCTCACACTTGTCCATATACTTTTCAGGAGCTGTCCCCAAATCTGTTTATGCCAGTTATACTTATTATTTTAAATATGTAATTTAAATAGTTATATAAGTGATTAGATGTGAGTAGGAAGAGAAAGCTATTTTAATGAAAATATTTTAATGTTCTGATAGATTGTATAAAGGCAAGTTGCTAAAAATACATGCTGTTGAATTAGGCTTGAATGAAACAACCATAAGAGATTAGTGAAGATCTAACAAATCTAGAAGGATTCTGCCCAATGACTACTTTGCCAGAATCTTCAACTGGATGATAATGTGTATTATAGGTTTGCTTTTTGCAAGAAAAACAATACCCTGCTCATGAAGTTGGAAGTTAGGGGTTCTTTTTGAGTTAAACCATATGGTCAACACACAATGAATGAGATCTAAAATACTCGAAGTTTGCTCAGTTAGACAAAATGCCACTTGTGTCACTCTTGCTCAGTCCAAGTAGGTACTGCCATTTAAAGGAAGAATGTTTCCATCAGAAGGGCTTGGTCTTGATGGTGATGGGGATAGAGAGAAGGAAATGGTCCAGGATTGTAAAAATAGAAAAAGAAGTGATAGAGAGGCCCACTGGGCAGAGCCCAGCCAGGACTTAGGGAAGCGTGTGCTCTGGCCTGAGGACCCGGCCTGTTTGGTCCTAGACCAGGTTAGATGGACACTTAGAGTTATCAAGCCCTGATGCCTTTGGATGCCTGAATCCTCCAACTGACTCCCCTGGTTCTGGTTTCATCCTCACTAACATCATACTGCTTATAATTTTGCTCCCCAGTTAGCATGCCTAGGTATATGTTGACACTGACATGCTCATGACCATGTTGGTCCTCGCTGAAGTTAAGCAATCTGCATTTCAGATTATCTAAAAATATCTGAGTTGGGTGATTGGGACTCTGTCCTCAAGCCATGACTCTATTCTTTATGTGCTGACAGTATCAGATTTTGCATCTTGGGGTTTAGAGGCAGACTCCCGACTATGATTAATTGGTAAAAAATGATCAGGGTTGCCCAGTGGACAGTTTGCCCGAGCCTACTGCACCCTCTTGGAGATGGCCACTGTTGGAATCCACACTCTTTCAACTTGTGCAGCCTCAGCCCCTTATTGGCTGTTTTGTGGAGCACCTTGGCTCTTTTTCTTCATTTCAGGGACTAGAATTGAATCAGACCTAAAACAAGGGTCTAAGTCATAATGAATCATGAGGAGTTTCTTCGAAAGCTCCCTTGCTGAGGCACCTTGGAATTTGACTATGTATCTCAAATATATAACTATATCCAGGCACAAACAACACCGACTCCTACAGTTACCACTCTTTAGGAGTTACAGTATTATTTAAAAAACTCGTTCTCCAGAGTTTTGAGCCTGTACTCCGAGCCTCCTTGCAATAAGAAATGTCAGAGTCATGATCTAGCACTCTGAATGAATGTCGCAGTAAACGAAATATCAACAAGCGCCTAACCTGTGCAGGTTGCCAAGGCAGCTTTGGCACTGCCTGAAGTTTGTTTTACGTCTTTCAGCACCCATGCTTTTACAAAGAACATACACATCTCTGTGTGCTGGCATGCACGGTGATAACGCACCCAGGCTCTCCAGTTCTCTCCTGTCCCCCTGTGTATGAAACACAGTGGTCCCTGTCATGGAACCAAGGGTCAGCAACAGTGACCAAATTAACTGGGCAACGGCCAGATCTGCACTTCACGCTAGCCTGTTGTAGCTCTTATGAGGTAGGCAGCAACACTCTGGAGCAGCTTAAAGCCTCTGAAATCTGACAGTGTGGGTACAAAGTGAGACAATACAGGGAGAGACCTGAAATCTTGTTAACTATTTCCTATATATGACGACACAACCCGAGAAAAATGTTACAAGATTCAGACAGCAGAAAGCCGTGCCACTCACTGCATCCTTTGATTTGCCAAATGAAGGTCCTCCCTGAAACCGTTCCCTTTGTTTTCTCAGGAAAATGTATTTACCATGTTAATAAATATAAAAAGCAGTTGGCATTCCTCACTGTCTTATATTGGGCAAATCTGGTGATTCATTTGAAATATTTTTCAAAGCTTTTTCTGGAAATAATTTTACATTTTTGGAAAAGATGTAAGAAAGTATAAAAAAAACTCTGTTATAGACTTCACCTAGATTTTTACCAATTGTTAATATTTTGCCACATACGCTTTATTTATTTATTTATTTATTTATTTATTTATTTATTTATTTATTCTCCTTCCACTCCCCTTCCCTCCTTTCCACCAATCAAATATGTACACATATACATCATACACAAATATTATTATTTTTTATGAATTACTTGAGAGTAAGTACAGCCATTACGCTCCTTTACCTCTAAATATTTAAGTGAATGTTTCCAAAGAACAAGGACATTCACTTACATATCCACAGTGGAATTATGAAAAGCAAGAACACAAATGCAATACTATTACCTAATTCTCAGACCTTATTCATATTTTTCCAGTTGTCTCAATAATGCCCTTTATAGCAAAACTTTTATTATTAACTGTTTTTTTAAGGTCCAGGATCCAATCCAGGATCACACCTTGCATTTAGTTTTCTGTTCCTCTACATGTCTCAGTCTAGAACATTCTTCAGCCTGTCTTTATTTTTCATGAAACTGGCCATTTTAATGAGCATAGGCCAACTCTTCAATAAAGTGTCCCCCAAGCTGGCCTCGTGGCTGCTTCCTCCCGATTAGAGTCAGGCTGCCCATTTTGACGGTTTTGGTCCTGGGTGTGTTACATCAGAAGGCTTTAGAGTCTGTTCCCATGGTTGGTGACCTTGGCTTCCATCCCTTCCTTGGTTATGGTGGCATCTGCTAGGTTTCTTCACTGTAAAGTTACCATTCTTTCCCTTTGTAATTAATACGCAATTTGTGAGGAGATACTTTCGGACTATATAAGTACCCAGTTCTTTGTGAGATGTCCCCCACTGGACACAGCAAGTGTCCTTGCTGTGCTCTGTGGAGGGGCATTTCACGTGTGCTGTTTGTTCTTCCCTCCGCAGTGGTCATCATGTGTGCGAGCAGCGACACCATCCGGGGCATCATGCTGGCCGCGCACCGGCACGGGATGACCAGCGGGGACTACGCCTTCTTCAACATCGAGCTCTTCAACAGTTCTTCCTACGGTAACGCTGCGTCCAGTCTCCCCACTCGCTACTAGGGGTCAGAAAGGGGTTGTGAGAGAGAGCCGAGGACATGAGTTACGCCGACAGATTTGATTTCCCTAAATAAGATTTTAGAAACTTGTGATTCTGAACACCCCCAGTTCTCAATCTTTTCTTCTCTGAGAACTCAATTAGAACCAAAAGATATCACTGTACCCGTGATGCCAAGGGACTTGTCTCCATATGATCATAAATCCAGGCCCTGAAGACCCCTCTCCAGTGCGTTTCCAACTGCAGGTTGCCACCATGATGGATTGTTGGAATAATTGTAGTGAAATTTGGGCAGGTTTTATTTATTTTATTTATTTATTTATTTATTTATTTTTTTAGCTGAGCCATCCCGCCACCTGTTGGCAGCTCACGGCTGCTCAGCTCGGGCTGACTCGAACCGCTGTTGCTCAGAGCTCAAACTCTTGAGCGAGCTCTTAACCAACTGAGCCACTCAGCCGGCCCGGTTTTATTTATTTATTTTATTTATTTTTTATTTTTTTAAATTCTGAGCTTAGATCAAGTGCAGAAACCTTCATGGTTATAAAGGTCAGTAGTACAACCTTTTCATCATTGCTCAGAACTTATTAGCCTTTCATACACATGTATTTCCCACCCCCAATTCTCATTCATCCATCAGCAAGTCCTCAGTTATCTGCTGCCACCTTTATACACAAACACACACACACCCTTATTGTTTATACTTTTGCTTCTCAGAACTGGAGAGATCATGCATCAGGTAGACCAGAAGAACCTTCTGATGCTCAGATTTGGCTATTTTCATCATTTATCCACTTAAGTAATGGGCAGAACTTTTAATAGAATGGAACAGACTAAACATATTAATAGAATAGAATAGAACCTGTCAAAGTGTGTCACGTGTAGCATATGTATTGTTTCATAAAACTTTTATTTTAGTAATATGATTGTATGTGTGTATATATTTATGCATGTTACACAGCAATAGGCTGCAATGTGAAATAAATAAAATAACCATCACTGTAAACTATGGTAAAATATTTTGAAAGTCACTGCTCCCAGACCCCCTTCCTTTCAGGTTACTGCCCTTTAAGCTTCTCCCATATAGAAGTTCAGAAGTCATCAACGCACGTATATGATTGAAAGCATTTAATTTCTTAAAATGGATTTGGGGAGGTTTCCAGGGTTCCTGTGATGGAGGGTGTCTCAGGAGGTCATCAAGATCAAAGGTACAAAACATTTTTCCCAAATGTGGTTAGGGCTGTCTCTGAAGTAGACACTGTCAGGCTATGTATGGGACATCTTTTTAGATACTACGCATTGGCAGTTTAGGGGGACTCTAAGTGTGCATGTCACAACTGGCAAATTTATGCTGAGCTCCACTTCCCAGTTCTTGTGGTTGAGATACAGTTAGACAGAATCTAAACCTTACAGCATACCCCTCAGTTTCCTGCTCTGATATCCTGGCTTACTTAAACAATAGGTCACTGTGCATAAACAGATGGTAAAACACACTTCTCATGGGGATAAAGAAAAGTTGATGAAACAAAAGTAGCCACCGCTTCCTTGTAGTGGATAAAATTGGAGATTTGAGGCTTGCAGGATCAACACTCAGTGTTTTCCTCCTTGCTGCCATGATCGTCTTTCCCCCTCTCTTTTCACAAGCAGAGTGGCAGTTTCACCACTTGACCAAAGATCAGAATGAAATTACGTTATTGGCTGCAATACGAGCTTGTTGAAATAGTGGTAGAGACTGGTGAAAATGAAAAACATTTATTCTGAATTTTGCAACTTGCAACCATAGAACTTGGAGACAATGCATGTGAATGCACATTATAAATGGGCAAGTGCAATACAAATATTAGGTACTGGAATTCCTTTCATCCACAGATAAAGCTTGTTTTCCTTTTCCCTGGTCATTACAGTACACGAGTATTACAGAAAATTTGAGAAACATAGAAAAGCACAGGGAAGAAAATAGGTTACCATAATTCTGTAACCCAGATAAAGATACACTGATAATATTTAAAAGTACTACATCTTGTCTATTGAAACAGAGAATCCTCTGTTCCAATAGCTTTCCTGGGTAGAGTAATCTTGGTTGTAGTTCCTTGCTTTGCATCACTTGGAATGTTACCTGCCAGTCCCTTCTGGCCTGCAAAGTTTCTGTTGAGAAATCAGCTGACAGTCTTATGTGGGCTCCCTTGTAAGTAACTAACTGCTTTTCTCTTGCTGCTTTTAAGATTCTCTCTTTGTATTTACCTTTGACATTTTAATTATGATGGGTCTTGGTGTTGGCCTCTTTGGGTTCATCTTGTTTGGGACTTTCTGTGCTTCCTGGGCTTGTATATCTATTTCCTTTGCCAGGTTAGGGAAGTTTTCTGTCATTATTTCTTAAAACAGATTTTCAATTCCTTGCTCTCTCCCTTCTCCTTCTGGTATCCCTATAATGCCAATGTTGGCACGCTTGGTGTTGTCCTAGAGGCCCCTTAAACTATCTTCAATTTTTTGGATTCTTTTTTCATTTTGCTGTTCTGGTTGGGTGTTTTCTGCTACTTTATATTCTACATTGCTGGCTTGATCCTCTGCTTCATCTAATCCACTATTGATTCCCTGTAATGTATTCCTCATTTTCGTTATTGTACTCTTCGTTTCTGACAGGTTCCTTTTCATGTTTTCTATCTCTGTTTTTATGTTTCCTATCTCTTTGTTGAAGTTCTCCCTGAGATCATTGACATCCTTATAACCAGTGTTTGGAACTCTGTGTCTGGTAGGTTGCTTGTCTCCATTTTGTTTAGTTCTTTTTCTGGACTTTTGTTCTGTTCTTTGTCTCCCCATTTTGGCTGCCTCTCTGTGTTTGTTTCTATGTATTACAAAATACATAGTAAAGTCTTAGTAAAGAGGACTTACATAGTAGGTGTGCTGTGGAGCTCAGTGGCACAGCCTTCCTGGTCACTTGAGCTGTGCACTCCAGATGTGTCCCTTGTGTGTGCCCCCCTGTTGTAGATAAGCCTTGGTTACTAATTGCATATCAGTGGGAGGGACTGGTCCTCGGGCTCATTGGTGGTGAGGACTGACCATGACTACGGTGGAGGAGTTGTGGCACAGGGGCTGACCCTACAGAGCAGGACCTGCCTCAGCAGGGCTCTGGTGCCTGCCCAATCTGCCCCTTGGGTGTGTTGTTCTTGGAGGCAGCTGGGTGATGGTCCAGCTCTTTTTGAAGCTGGCCACTGGGAGCACGAGCCCCAGGACCACCTTGGAGGGGGTCTGCTGCAGGTCAAGTTCAGCTGCAGTCCATGCTTCACCAGGGGCCACCTGGCAGGAGCCACAAAGAAATCCACAGATGGGTGCTGCCTGTGCTGTGCTTGTTAGTGCCTCAAGAGGCCAAACTGCGAACCAAGGTTGGCTGTCACTAGTACCAGGCTTAGGGCTGCTCAGCTGGAGGTACAGGACACGCTCAAGTCAGATGCTACTTGTCTGGGTTTTGCAAACTTAGGAAAGTTCAGAGACCATAGGAAAGTCTGCAGCATAAGCTAAGGCAGCTGGTTTGTATGAAAAAGCCCCCGGAAGCGGCATGAGTGTGCCCGAAAGTTGGGTGGGGCAGGGTCTCGAATCACCAAGGCGTGGTAAATGAATGGCATTAGCCAGCTTGATGGAGACTCAGATATGGTGGCAGACACTGGGAGGAGGGAGGATTCAACGAGAAACAATGGCCTCCACCAGTTCCTCTGACCAAGAGAAAGCTGCCCCTCCAGCCCCATCCCAAGCCAGACAACTCAGTTCCCCACCATATGTCCCTGCTGCCTTTCCAGCTGCTGCCCCAGCACTGGAGCTCAGAGCAAGTGATTCTGTTGGTGGGTAAGTCTGCACACAGTCCCTTTAAGAGGAGCGCCTGGGACTCCAGTCGCCCTCCATCTCACTCAGTCACAATCTCTGCTGGTTTTCACAGCCAGAAATTATGGGGACTTCTCTCCCTGGCATTGGAACCTTGGTTTGGGGTGGGGCTGGGACCTCTCGGTCCTCTAGGGTGGGGCGGACCTCCACAGCCGAGATGTTCCTCCTAATTTTTAATGGTCACACATAGGTGTGGGACTAACCCATTCTGCATCTCTGCCCCTCCTACTAGTCTGAAGGTGGCTTCTTCTGCATGTCCTTAGTTGTATGGCTTCGGTTCAGCAAGATTTTAGGCGATTTTCAATGATGGTTGTTTTGTAATTTAATTGTAATTTTGATATGGTCATAAGAGAAGATAAGCACAGTGTTTATCCTGACCAGACTTCAAAGTAGATATTAAAGCATCCTTTTATTCCTAGTTTACTGGCATGGTTTTAAAAATCAGAAATTAGTGATGAATGTTGTCAAATACATTTGACCTATAGTTTTAATAAATTTCCTAATATTGAGCCATTATAGTATTCTTGGAACTAAGTATACTTTGTCATGATTTTGTTAAAGATGCATTTCTGATTTTAAGTTTTTAATATATTTTTTTAGGATTTTTGAATCCACATTCATGAGTAAGATTGGACAGTAGTTTTCTTGCTTTTAGGTGGTGTCTCCAGATTTTAACATCAGGTTTATATTAGTTTTATAAAATTAATTGGGATACTTTCCATTTTTTATGCTCTAGACCAGTTTATATACCATAAGAATATTTCTGGAAAGATGGAAACAATTTGACTCTATAAATTCTTTTTAGAGATAATTTTTGGAAAACTTAAAACAATTTTATTTTTGAAATAATTTTAGACTTACAGAAAACTTTCAAAAATAATATAGAGTTCATGTATACCTTTTACCTAGATTCTTCTGTGTTAACAATTTAAATGACCATAGTACAGTAATCAAAATAACAAAATTAAAATTAGTACAATACTACTAACTAAACTATAGACCTTATTTGAAATTTACCACTGTTCCTCCTAATATGAGTTTTTGTTTTTTGCCTTTTTTTGGTTCCAGGATCCAATCCATTCAGCTGCTGTATCTTTTTT